GAAAGGTGTTCGTCCTCCCCCCCCCCCCCCCCCCTCTCATCTTTCTCCTCGTCCCTAATCCTTCTCATGGTGCCCCGATTTCTGAGAGTGAATAACATGCTCGTGGAACAAATAGAGGCTATGTGATCGTATTCGTGCCATCTGAAACACTTCCTGGCCGGTACAACATTTGAGGAGTTATCTTTCTCTTGTTTCTTTCCACTGTAATCTAGAGTGTCAAGCCCTTATCTGGGCTTGCTAGTTTCTCTCGGGGTACCCTTGTCGGTCGATGTAACTGTAGGAGACTGTCTGCCTGAAAATTGTTCCCTGTTCTACTTCTACGGCCTCTCCACCTCAGGGCTACTTTCTGGACAACCTTAAGTGATCGATAAGGTTGTAGTTGCATCACATTACTAATATTAGGCTTCAAGCCACCAAACTATCATGCTAATGTATCCTCCTTTAGCTCTGTCAACTCGCACTTCAGCTGTAAGGATCGAACCGTGAACTCCGCTAAAAGATCCCTCTGCTACAGATTGTGTAGCTTCACCCTGAAGATAATGAGGGAGAACATATTTCTTCTGCATGGCTTTCTTCGTCTTCCCCCGTCTGGTAATCTCATTGTCGCCTTCCAGTTTCCTCTGTCGTTGTACGTTCTCCCACCATAAGGAGGCACTCTTCTTCAGCTTAAAAGCGAAGAGTGTAACCCGCTTATCCTCTGGCACATCCTTATACTCGAATACCCGCTCAACAGCCTGCAGCCAATCAAGGAACTCATCTAGATTCATGTGCCCCTCAAACTCGAGCAAATCTACTATGATCCCGTAGTCATTGTGGCCTCCATATGACATCTCCTCTTGAAAATTTTTCCTTTGGGAGGGATTCAGATATCCTTTTCTAGGCCTCCTATGACAACAGAATATGAAACGTCGCGGTCTGTCTTCTTCATCATTGAAATCATCCTCATGGAAGAGATTTAGATTCTCACATCTTTCTCCCTTCGACTCTCCAGATCTCGGTTAAGGATACCCTCTTCCCGTGTCAACCCTTCAATTTCCACAAGCCTCTGTTGAAGGCCACGGAGCTCTCGCTGTATCTCTTTATGAGTAGGCTCGAGCATATTTCTCCTTGGTAACATGACTAGGGATTAAGGAATATGAAATAAAAATTTTGGTGGGGTTAACGTTTGGGTTGTGAAATAAAATTAGTTGGTGGAGGTGAGAGGGGATGTATGCAATTGATGGGATTTGAGATTTGGGACTATGGTTCCAGAATAGGCGGATGCTAGAAAACCCTAGGATAAAACTAAGGTTAACCTGGCTCTGCTACCAAATGATATCGGAACTAGTTAGGAATCAGCAGAAACAAAAAAGTAAGCTTTTATTATTACAGAAATAAGGCTACAACACGAAACAAACGAGAAAAGAAATAAAACTAATAATCTCCGGCTAGAACCGAAAAAAGAGATCTGACGGTGGCGTCGGCAAAAGAAAAAAGGGAAAAGGAAAAGGAAAAGGCTGAGGTTGTAGGGTAGATCAGAGGGATGCTAGTTGATGGGGAAACGAGCCGGACAGTAGGGAAGGAGAGTCTGGATGGCTGGACAGCTAAGGATGCTGTAAAGGAGTGAAATAAAGGATGTTGGCATGGGATTGGGAAAGCAGGACAGCAAAGGAAACTACAGTATGAGGATTGGTTGTGTGCAGGTGGCGGCCGAGGAGACTGTCCAACAAGACCAGCCATAGAAGGAAAGGGGAACAGGGCGCTGGGAGGCAAGCTAGGGTCTGAACAGCAGCCCTGTGGTATGACGAAGGGGCCGACTGAACAGAGCGAATCAGGTGGGGAAGCCGACATTTATGGGGAGTGGAGGAGAAGGGCTAGAGAAGATAATCACCACTTAGGGAGACAGATGCAGCTGGAGCAACTTCCAATCCATCGGATACAACCCTCGAGGGGAGAAAAAAGACGATGGTTGTTGTCCACACAGTACTGAGATCAGAAACACAACAAAAACTAAAAACTAAAATCCAAAAAACAATTTAAAGACTCCATAAATGAATTAATATAAAAGGAAAGGAATACAAGGGGGAATTAGCAGTTTCACCCCTTGGGGAACAGCTCGGTCCAGTCAGCCCTGGACTGAAGCACATTAGCAGCCGGCTCAGCCGACTTGCTATTCCAGCACCAGCACGAGAATAACCCTTCACTCATGTCAATCCCTTTATATATCAGTTATGGATATCCTTAAAAAAATATTCAAAATAAGGTGGCTTGGTTTACACATTATCACAAATGAGAAATGTTTAGATAATGAGACATCCATTGAGATAGAAAAAATACAAAACAATAAAACAAATATTTAAAAGAAAGAAAAACGATAATTAGCAAAATAAATATGTAGTATATCATATGCAATTTTAACATTTGTAATTTTAAATATTATCAATCAATATAGTTGAAGTTAAGGTGATACATAGGTCTGTAAGTTTGAGTATCTTAAATCTTATGCAATAGTATAAAGAGATGAATGCAAAGCAATATAAAGATAAAGTTGAATAGCTAAAATGGAGACGTACCACATGAATATTAGGTAACAAGGGATATCTTGAAAACATATAAAACCACAATTAAATCAATGATGTTATATAAATCCAAGTGCTGAGAGTAAAAATTCGTTGATATCAAAATAAAATATACTAATAATGAGAATGCTAAAATGAATGTATGGAAAAATAGGAATAAATTAAGAAATATTATATAAGAGAAATGACTGGAATGACATATATTGTAAATATACATTAACAAGCCTTTATCCCACTAAGCGGGGTCGGCTACATGAATCCCTTTTCGCCAATATGTCCTATTAAATGTCACATTTTCATTTAAATCTAATGAATTAAGATCAGTTTTACACAACCTGCTCAAGTCTTTTTAGGCCCACCTCAACCCTTCTTAACATGAGTCAAATCTAAACCATATACTCTCCTAACAGGGTCATCAGATGGTCGAGATTTGATGTGACCAAACCGCCTAAGGTGACTCTTCTAATCTTGTTCCACTGGATCTACTCCAACCCTTTCATGAATATATTATCTCCGCACTTTGTCTCTAAATGAAAGTCATTCATCCACTTGAGCATTCTCATCTAAGCAACAGCTAATTTTATGCATCTCTTTCACAAGCAAACAATTTGCACCATAAAGTATTGCAAGTCTCACCACCATATTATAAAATTTTCCTTCTAAGTCAAAGCCATACTTTTTTATCACAAAATAGGTCCAATGCATTCCTCCATTTTAACTAACTTGAATTCTATTAATAACATTCCCATCTATATCATAGTCACTTTGGAAAATAGGCCCGAGATAATAAATATTCACTCCTTTTAATGACTTAATCACCCATTATTAAAACTGCGCCATCATATTTGCTATTATTAAAATTACATTTCATTTATTCAGTTCTAGATCAACTCCAACGAAAGGCTTTAGACACTAAAGTTTACCTTCATAATTCAAATATTTCCTGAACTCTCTCTCTAGTCTTATCTACAAGAAAGATATCACCAGCAAAAGCATACACCAAGGTACATCCTCCTATAAATGTCCAGTAAATATATCCATAGCTAAGGTAAAAGATATGGGCTTAAAGATGGTCTCTAATGTAATCCAACTGAAATAAGAAAATACTAGGTCAATTCTCAGGTTGTTCGAACTTAAGTAACGGCCTAGTATACATATCTTTAATGACTTGAATATAAACAATATCAACACCTTTATTTTCTATAACTCTCCAAAGCACTTCCTTTGGAACCTTACCATAAGCTTTTTCTAGATCAACAAAAATCATATGCAAATCCTCCTTACTCTCTCTATATTTCTCCATCAAACCTCTCAATAAATGTATAGCTTCCATCGTAGACTTGCCCGGCATGAATCCAAGCTGATTTTGAGCAATTTTCATATCACATCATAAATTTATGTTTAATTACTCTCTCCCAAAATCATAATGTATAACACATTAACTTAATTCCTCCATAGTTTGTGCACTCTTGTACATCCTCTTTATACTTAGAAAAAAGTTTGAGATGATTACAAATATGGTGATTAAAATTTTAAAAAGAAAAAAGGGTGATTGATGATACATACAAAGATAATAGTTCAAGATGATTATTGAAAAATAAGTTCAATATATCAGACAACACTCAATAAAAATAAATGAAGAATAAAACTTAATCAAGTCAAAGCCAAATAGTTGGAAGTTACTGAAGATGATAATAAATTGCAAAAAATTGGCCAATGCATTTGATGATATCAGTTGAAATGTTCTAGTGAAAACTATAGCACTAAAAATGGACCGAGATCTATAAGAGAAGCTTACTATTAGAACAAACTCAAACAACAATAAACTATACAATAAAAGCATCCCATACGACACCAAAATCTTAATTTATCCTAGTTCAGTTATGATATGAAACTGTTTTCATTAGGTCATGACGTGCTATTTATTTATAGGCAGTAGAACTGTTTACAATCTAAAAGATGAGAAATAATTAATGTATGATGCAACAGCCAAGGGATAAAAGATTAAATTTAGATTAGTCGTTGGCTTTTTAACTATTAATATTGTCCACATATTTGAAAGTGGAATTGCTCTAGCATCAAGCTTATTTACTTTAATATAATAAATTAGGCTAAACCCTAAGAATAATGAATTTCAATATACATCACTTCCACAATTTCAGGAATAATACTCCTCAGTAATAATCTTGAAAAATTAAATAAATAAACATTGGAATTTGAAGCATAAATCTTTAACAAAAAAAAGGTTTTAAAAATCGCCAATAATATATACATGTTTACTAAATTACCTCTCGAAAATACGCAGCCATGACTGCATTATACATGCCTGTCATTGGCATCACTTTCATCTCCCTTGCATCTTTCAAAAGGTTGTAAGCACCCTCAAACTACACAACTAAAAAGAAATCAATTCCAAATAATAATAATAATAATAATAATAACCTTCAAATATCACATAAAAAAAACCATAATCAATTCAACAAGACAGAATTAAACGTCATCTGGTGCTGGAAAAAATAACAAAATGCAATAAAAATTTCATGTTTTGCCGTATCATTTTCAAGACTATCAATGGACCCGCATGACAGACCATAGGGTTACATCAGACATGACAACACAAAATAGAGGACGGCAAGTTTGAAAATGGCCTACATAGGTTCGGATCATAAGTGTGCCAATACAATTATGACACTCAAAAGTTGAGTGGAAGAAAGTTTGACCATTGAACCCTAAAATTACTTTGTTTCAGTTAAGGTTTTGGTCAAATTCTCCACCAAACACTACCCTATATCCTGGCCATCCTTCAGCCTAATTTGGTTGTTGTTTATGATCTGACTTTTTTTCCGATTTTTATTGGTTGAATTTTCCATTGATTAATAATTCCACTAAAAATTATGTACATAGGAAGAATTTAACTGCAGAAGGATTTTTGTATTCAGTCATGTGAAACTCGCAATGTCTTTCTCTAGGAATGAAGATATTAATACCATGCACCATATTTGATATTTGCTTGCATAATAATATCATGACAAGCACCTCAGTTTGCTCTTTGAAAATTGTACATAGATTTGTCCTTTCTAGAAACTGCAAGCAATTACTTGGATGGGCTCTCAACCTGTGTGCCTTCATTCTGTATGCTTCTGACATTGATAGTCATTTACTTTTACGTCAACTTTCACTGCAACACTCATTAATTTACTCTACCGAGCGCTAAATGGTACATGATCTGGCGGGTGGATTATTTTGATTCATGGTGAATTTTCATGAAATCTCCGCTAGTTCGATTAAAAAAGAAATAATCGTATTAAAGACTAGTAACAGTGATCATTCAACATGATAACATGATTGAAGAATGGATAGTTTTATGATCTATCATTCTGACAAAGACCTATTAATCATCTCCTTATGAAGGAAACTTATGTCTTGATTTCAATTATTTGAATGGATTCCAACATTAAATAGGTATGCTTACCTTGGCACAATTTGGGAACGCATATTTCAATTTTTCTGTACTTCTATTTGACTAACACTTACTAACTTGCTTATAATTGGCTTATTTCGACTCTAAAAAACATTCTTCATCATAATTGAACGCATTGCTTCCCGAAAAGCACTCGAAAATTTTTTAGCACTCTCAGATTACGGAAATGATTTTAATTGTTAGCAGCCTATATTAGATATTTCTGATCTATATTACTTGCATTTATGAATGCCTCAATACAATTATCATACACATTTTTCTTTTTTTTTATTTCAAAATATGCTATTTTATACATTAGAATCTTGCATATGCAATAGACGGGTAATGGGCAAGGTTGGGAAAAATGGACTTTCTGAAGTGGAATCTTGAGTTGACCTCACATTTTTTGCAACCTCTGTATTATAGATATTCAAAAGAGTGAGGTAATAAACCATTTCAAAAAAGAGGGATGACCCAGTCAAATTTAAATTTCTTTTAAAAACTTGATAGAGTCTAATAAAGCACCATTTAAGAATAAATGAAACCAGCATAACAAGTCTTGCAAAAATTGAAATAAAATTTGAAGGACTTAGAAAGTGATCCACAGAAGAAAACAACTATGGCCTCAGACAAGTGATGGAAGGATAAGCTGTTGTAACTGTTTGTTTTCTGCTGTAGCTGTTGTATCTGATCCAAAGCTTGAGATTATCAGAAAGCATTTTGATTCTCTTAAGCTCACAGGGAGTTGGAAAGTTGGTTCGCTAGATGACCGTCACGTTCTCATTCAACTCTCAAATGACGCAGATTATACCCAACTCTTTGCTCAAAAAGTTCTCAAAATCGATAATCGCTTTATGAAAATTCTGAAATGGACAGTGAATTTTGATCCAAAATTGGAATCTCCTATTATCCCGGTTTGGGTTAATTTTCCCATCTAGGTGCATCTCTTCAATTATGAAACTCTTTATACATTGACAACTACTTTTGGGAAACCGCTGAAGGTCGATACTCTCATGCTTGATACAACCAAACCATCTGAAGCTTGTGCGCTTGTAGAGCGCGACATCACTCAACCCTTTCCAGGGGAGATTTGGATTGGCTCCCCTCATCAGGGTTATTGACAGAAGATAGAAGATTGTGAATGGAACCTCATCCCCAATACTGCTCTCACTGTGGAATGTTTGGTCATAGCTCTTCATCCTGTTATCGATTGCATCCCCATCTACGATCGGTTGTAGCCCCACCTATTTCTCAGCACATTTTTGCGGAGGTTATACCCTCTTCCTCACTGCCTGTGATACCTACTGATATGCTCATGGCGGATACGGGGCAAAATGGTTTGTCTACTGATATTGTTTCGGAAAATGTTGATAAGGGTCGTTTGTTGGAGGAGAGTAAGGTGGTTGCCCCTGGATGGCAGGACCTGGTCACTGCCCCTTCTTCTACTGGTGTAGACATACTATCCTCTCAGGCTCTACCTACCGTGGAAGGTGCTCAGACTCCCCTCTATGAGGTGATTGAAAATAGGGAAGAAGCGAACATTCACATTCAGATGATGGAAAAGGTGTCTCCTAATACTAATGAGGACGATTTAGAGTCAAACAAAAACCATCTTACTATTATTAATCAGTTGGTAGAACTACTTGTTGAGAGGGCATGTGTTTCCCAAGCATTGAAAGACTTTCCTACACAAACTCAGGAACTCATCGCTGCAACTATCTTTCCTTCTACAGATCAGATTAAACAGTCTTCAGAAGAAGAATGATAAGTTTACACTTCTCGATGAAGGAAGAAGGCTGGGGACACTGTTCAGCTTGAAAACTTAATGGATGATACCTTGGTCACTCATGGCAATGGAACAACACTTTAGAGTTTGCTATCTGAATCCGCTCCAAGAACCAGAGGAAGAGGCAGGTCTAAACTGCCTCGTCCATAAACACTTTTTTTTTTGCATGTTTTCTTTTTTTGAGTCTTTTGTATCTTTTTGTTAGGATATCTTGGTACTATGTATCGTATGGGTAGGGTATCATCCACCGGGCCCTCTCATACAACTTTTTGTATCCTTTTTTTATTTCAATATAATCAGCCCTAGGGCTTCCTTAATATATATATATACACACAAAAATCCAAAGAAACAAATATACATAAAGATAAAAAAACCAAAAATCCACCAACAGGCGCAAAGGTGCTAGAGACGTCCCACTTTAATTTTTCCTCTGCCTCTAGTTCGCAGAAGGGAGTCAGCTAACAAATTGATAAGGTGCGTACCATTACCCGAAGTAACCAAAGTATCATCCATCGAATTTCTGAGCACAAGTATGTCTCCATTCTTCTTCTTCCTCCTGGATGTGTAGACTTGTCATTCCTCATCCGAGGATTGACTCAATTGATCAATGGATTGATTCAAAGATGGTCGGACAGATATAAGACGTTGCACAACCTGATCTCCCTGAATCTGAGTAGCATTGACATCTTTTTGGACCTGATGAGGCGGTAGTGTAGCAGCAGAGGTAATTTCACCTGTAACATCAGTGATATGTTCTAGGGCAGGCAAAGTCTGAAGAATCTCCCTCGACTCCATGATATGAGGTTCCGAAAACGAGGGAGCTACAATAATGTGTGGAGACTGAAAGATTGATATATTGTCTGCGGGAATAGTAGCGTCTTCAGATGTGTGTGTGTGTGTGTGTGTGTGTGTATTGTAATATCTATGGCGGTGGCTGGCTGCTCCGCTAACGTTTCGCCCGGTGGCGATTCCCTGGTTTGATCCTTGGTTTTCTGCGTTCGTTTTCTGCGATCGTCGACAACGACGTAGGGATTATGCGGCTTCGTTGTCTCTCCCTCGCGCCAGCTTTTGCGTCGAGCTGCAAGTTTCGTGGCTCGTCTTTCTGCGTCGGCGTCCAGTTTCAACGCTACGCCTCTGCTTTCCGCGTCTGACGGTTCTCTCCTTCATTTTTGACGCTTCTTTTGTTCGCGTCTGCGCCAGTGCTTCTCTCCGGCCCGACAATAATTATTTTGTTTTGCTTTTGTGCCCGTCTTTCTCTCCAGCCCGACGCAAGCTTTTTGCCGCAAGTGACAGCTGGCACATCCCCTTGCTCCGATGGCACTTCCTTCTTCTTTGGCTGAACCGGCAAAGACCTCCTTTGCACACGTGGTGGGAACCCCTCAGGTGGAGTCCGTGGTGATATTCTCCTCAAGTTATAAGGAATGTCTCGATGGTACAGATTGTCCTTTTGTTAAGAAGGGAAGTAAGAAAAACGGAAAAGCAGCAATTTTTTCTCTGACTAAGAAATTTCCACCCTGACGGAAAAATTGAAGTTTGCTCTTATTGGAAAATTTCAGTAGGGACACCCACCTATGAATGTTATCAGAAAGAGTGTTGATGATCTCAAGCTAGTAGGCAAGTGAAAATGGGACTTATGGATAGGAGACATGTGTTGATTCAACTAACAATGGTTGAATACTACACTAGAATTTTCTCCAAGAAATATCTTAATATCGCAGGAAAATCTATGAAGTTACTCAAGTGGTCTCCTGATTTCGACCCAAATCATGAAACTCCCACAGTACTGGTATGGTTTAGTTTACCTGGTCTCAAGCTGCATTTTTTTCACCATCAGGTTCCCTACTCTATTAGGGTCATCCAAGAGGGTCTTTTAACTATATTTGTCTACTTTCAGCCGATCCAGACCCTTGGTGGTCAGAATACTTGTAGAAAGAGATATTACTTTACCGGATGTTACTGAAGTCTGGCTGGGCACAACCCACAATGGATATTAGCAACAAATCGTCATGGAACACAGACCCCCATATTGTACCCAATGTAACAACTGTAAGATGGTTGGTCATATCCTTGATAAATGTCACAAGCACCATCTTAATTTGAAAACTAAGGTTCAAGTGAATAAGGATGGGTCTAACCCCACT